GTGATGTTAGTTTACAGGAGAAGCCGTGAGTTTGGTTCGTGGTCGTCCTTTGGTTTCTTTTTGCCGCAGCTCCCATATCCCCGACTTGTAACTATTTACTTTTTATGAAATGTTTCTTGAACTATGGCAGCTTCTTATATATCTGCTATATTTGGGCCGTGGATTCAGGGACCCAAACAAAAACTGTAGTGAGCAGAGGTATTATCTACTGATTGTGTGTCTGGCGGCAGCCAAGGATGGAGAGCAGAGGCAGCGGGCAGGCCAATCGAAACGCAGCTCAGGCCGCGGCTGCAGCAAAAACTTGGGCGTAGGAGGAGCGATTCTGGCAAAGCGTCAGGAGGGGAAGTGGTGCTCCACCAACACGGTGTACAGTAAAGATGGAGGCCTGCTGGCTCCAGCTGAGGACACCGTCAGGCAGTAGAACTCTGACAACCTCCAGAACCTTAATCTCACTCATAACTAAAGTCGCCAAAAGACAACAACTTCTCCTGTTGCATTTAGGTTTCAGTTTAACCGAAGAACAAAGAAGGACACATGAGCTCGAGCAGGTTACACACAACATTCACGCTGCACAGATGAGAACACAGCAGGATTTCATGCAGTCCGGTCTGCCTGTTAGACAGCGTGCAAACAAAGCGTGCGTTCTTTGTAGCATTCGACAACAGTCACTTACGTACTTTCTGACATCCACAAAAACATATTGGTGTCTATTATCTCTCGTTGTTAATAGAAACTTTGTTTCCAGCGTTTGAGCTCATTCTCCACGTGTCTCTTGCACTGACCACAATAACCATCTATCATTAATTACGTTACAGATGTTGGTACCTTGAGCAGGATGACGCTGATCTCGGTGGGCGTTTTCCCTTCAGTGCTCTCAGTTCGTCTCCCTGTGTCAGACTGACTTCTTTGCAGTTATTCTGCACAGACACAATTAGCAGCATGAAAACACAACATTGTGATCGGAACTCAGTAGCCTGTTTGAATTCTGCAGTAACCATTAAGAAAAGGTGCTATGAAGTCACACCGCTGACCTCATCCAAGCTATATGACTTGCATAGCACGGTGTTGATTGACAGGTCATCCATGCTGGAAAGCAGCGAGGACACTGCCTCCTGTTTGCCTCCCTGCACAGAGTCAGAGCGGTGCAGCTGCTGCTGCTGCAGCTGCTGCTGCCGACTCAGTCTCTGTTGGACCAGCTTCTGTTTAGACCGATGCACGTCACCCTGAACCCACAAACTGTGCTGCTTCCTGCACACAAACATCAAGCACACGCCACAAACTGACTGTGATATCACGTTTAGCAGGTACAACATTCAACATCCTGGTTTAGCATGTAAGTAGACACACAAAGCTAGTAGCCATTAGCAACAGAGCGCTACTGTGGCGTAAGGAGGAAGTGTGCGTCCAGAGCTGAGGAGAGAAACCAGCTGAACACTGTGACTGCAGTCTGCAGCAGTATCACAGTTTCATTCGATTTGATTCAGCATCCACCAGTTTCCCACTGCTGCAGTCACCACCAGCTGCACATGGGCACCCTGGGGAATGCACCACCCTGACCTCCACCTTTTGCTTCTCTTCTAACATTTCCAGCATGCTCCAACCATGACCTCAGCATGGAGAAACATCCTGTGTGGTAACAGCAATAGATGCCACAGCCTAAGGACAGACGGGCCTTGTTTGTCCAGCACATCTCACAGATGCTCGATGAGACTGAGATCTGCCGACGTTGAAGGCCAAGGTGACCCCTCAAACCCTTCCTGATCCACTTGTGCTTTGTGTGAAGACTCCAGCGACACTCGAAGTATTAGTGAACAGCTGTACTCAGTGGCCAACGCCTTTTGGGTCATTGCAAAATGTCAAACAGCTTGTGTTTAAATAAAAAAGACTGGAAACAGAAAAAGATCCAAGTGGACCAATCACACCTTCACAAATGCAATGACCCTGATGAAGGCCACTAACACGTTATGGTTCCCTGATACTCTGTGACTGGAGTCTTCACCTCGTCAGATCTTTGTCTTCTCCGTGCACCTTGGAGGTGAAGCTGCCGTCTGCTTGTGTTTCGTGACATTATCCTAATGAAGTGTTGCAGACGTGTCTGTGTGCACAGCATTACTCCTGTACTTTCATGAACGGACTACAGCTTAATGATCGTCTCCGACCGAGACCTTTGGAGTCACGGAAAGTGGACCGTTTGGTTTGAGCGGTCACAGCTGAGGCACAAACTCACTCTTCTAAGAAGTTTTGCTGTGGACCGATGATAGAGCCAGGTCTGCAGACTCTGATCCAAGCAATCGCCTCGGCTGCAGTAAAGCGGAAGTGCTTCATCAGGTAGCAGCCAATCAGAGTGCCCGTGCGGCCTAATCCAGCTGTAAATGGATGGAGTGTTTAAAGAGACAAAGTTAAGATAAAAGAAATAAATGACGTCAATTAAACATGAAGACTTGCAGTCCTACCTTTACAGTGCACCGCCACTGCCCCGTCTGTACTTTCACACACATGCAGAAAGCGTCTGACGATGAGGTCAGAGGGCGTGGTCCCATCAAGGAAGAAGAGGTCGTGGTGCTCAAATCCTGCATCCTCAAACCGCCTGCCATCATACAACGTCCTGTTCAGACGAACCACGGTCGTTACGTCATTTTGGTAAAAGTATGAGAAGTATGCCTCGGGTGTGTGGAGGGGATAACCTGGAGACAGAGTCAACAACAGCTGAGTTACGTCATACGTTTCAATTAGCGAGCGTCTGTTTTTAATGCAAACGTAAAATAAGATTCAATGACGTAGTGTCAGCTGATTTATGTTGTAAGGTAAAGACGTTAAATACAGAGAAAACCCAACGATCGGACGGCCCCAAGCACCTGCTGACAGCGGGAAAGAAAAACTCCCTTTTAACAAGAACCAGGCTGAGGGAGGGGGCGCAATCTGCCTCATGTGGTCGGGGTGGGGGGAGGACAACAGGACAAGAGATGGACGAGAGCCAGAGGGGAATAATAACTACGTGCAAAGTGGTGTAAATACACAGAAAGTAAAAAGAGCTGAGGGATGGAGAAGCATGAGTGCATCATGGGAAACCCCGAGCCCCTGCAGGGTTCAGGCTCGTCTACTCCAGCCGTAACAACACGACAGCACTAAGCAGGAAACAATGCACGCCGTCAGAAGACAGCAGGGTAAGGTTAGCTCTTCTCAGCTGCTTCAGGACGTGCAGGCACTGAGGGGCTGCACAGGCCTTCTGTCAGCCAAGCAACGTGAGCACTGGTGTTGGTTTGGAGGCATGCTTTTAGCTTTTAGCTTAGAGATTCTGACTCACCACGAGAATGAGGGCTACTGAACGCCAGAACTTTCCCCGGAACGATCCAGTTCATATCTCCATTTTCAACTCGCTAAAAGCACAAAAAGAAAGGAAAGACTGTGATAGAGGTTAGCCACATATCAGTTAAAACATGGATCCAGAACGCCTTAATTATACCACCACTGCAGTAATGAACACGTACGGGCTGTTACCTTTCATTGGAAATCAGTTTTGTTGCAGTGGACACAGGTGAGCTGACCTTTACTTCACTGACTGTCTATCACTTGGACGGGTGAGCTATGGATCAATCTAACTGAGAAACTGAGGAAGTACAGCGTGCACCAAGGCAGGCCTGGACATCGTACGAGCTCTTGGTTGGCCCTGACTGTGTTACTAACAGCACTGCAAATAAACTGGATGAATAACAAGCTATTTAATTTAAGAAATAATTAGTTATTTCTTCCTGTATCCTGGTCCTGTTTGCATTGATATCGACCTGTAGCACAGTCTCTGCAGTCTGTTACCTCATAATGTTCATATTCTTCTGCACTGAACCTTTCAAAATCCAGGAAACCATGTTGTAATGCCTGCAGAGGAAAAGAGCAGGAACAGATTTTCACAACAAAAGCACAACTCCCCCCAAAGGGCTGAAATGTTTAGTGTTATAGTGATCTGCAGTGGTTTCACAGATTCAGTTCAGTTTTTCTTAGCACCAAATCACAACAACGGTCACCTCAGGCAGTTAATATTGTACGTAAAGACCCTACAGAGGAAACACAATCAGACCACGAGCAGGCACACTGGTGACAGTGGGGAGGAAACACTCGTTTTTAACAGAAACACATGTTCACCAGAACCAGGCTCAGGGAGGGGCGGCAATCTGACTGACTGCTGAAGGCTTTTCAGGGAGTTTTTAGGACTTCCTGATAATAATGAATTACAGTCGTCCAGCCTGGAAGTAATAAATGCATGAACTAGTTTTTCAGCGTCACTCTGAGACAGGATATTTCTAA